GAAAACCCTTATGAAAATGCTTTCAACGTAAAAGTTAATAAAACAGAGGCGGTTAGTGAACTCAAGGACGCTATCAAGGAAAAAATTGATGATAATGTTAAGGCAAAAGACCTCAAGCTATGGAAGGTCGACATTTCCTTCGAAGAAGAAAACGAAAAACTTAAGCTCGTCAACACAAAAGTAAACGTTAATATCAAGGAGGAGCTTGGTGGCGTGGAACTACTTCCACTTTCGAAGATTAGCAAACACTTTCCTTCCCAACCAGCCGACGAGCACATACATATAATCGTACAGCGTCCTGTTGAAACGAAAGAAGTCCATTGCACCGCAACGTATGGGCGTAAGTCAAAAAAGTTTCAGTGGACCGTAACCCGCGGACAAATAACCTTATCTGCTTTGAAGTCTCGGCTTCGCACATGTTTCACATTTCTGGATGGGACAGAGGACGAACATATTGTTATAAATCGTGAGTGTGGTGGTAATGAAAAAGAAATTATTTGTTTGGTTGATGATGAGGATTTGGCAAGTGTAATCTGGACTCAAGGATTCAAGGTGGATTTTCCAATCGTCGTGGACACATGTAAGTATATTTTTGTATTTTTGAGAATAAATTATTATAGGCGTGACATACTCCTAACAAAAATTAATTTGGATATTTTATAGCGCAACAGCCATTTTCGTCGTGGACATTTCCCCAAATCAAGACATTATTCGGGTTAACAGCCGATAGTTATATTGATCTCCCCAGATTCGATGGAAAGTTAGCTGACACAGCCAATTACGAAAAGATATTGGAGCATGTTTTGGAAGATATAGCTATGAAGCATAAGACCTGCATTCACGTCACTAGTGCGAACGAAGCAACAAGACGCGAATTTATTTCTTCCGTTCTTCACGGCGTTGCCTCTTGTTATGATGGTGAAGTGAAAGTATGTCCAGAATACGAGTTATCTGGAAGTCATGGTAAAGGGCCAGTGGATTGGGTTATCAAGATTGGAGATACGATTATTGTCGTTACCGAGGCTAAAAGGGAGGATATTAACCAGGGTGTTGGCCAGAATGCAATTCAGTTACAAGCTTCGTCTCAACGTAATAAAAAGAAACGCACATACAATGAGGCTTTACGTGAAGATGTAATGTATGGTATCGTTTCGACAGGAGTCGACTGGGTCATAATTAAGTTAGTCACTACTGGCGAATGTAATGACAATGATAATGGGAATGTTGAGGTATTATTGAGTTCGCGAACACCATTTACTTTTCCTATTAACGAGAGTGTGTTTGACAAAAGTCTTATGCTTGAAAAACTCAAGAATTTGTTTGGGCAAATTAAGTGGGTATTTGATCGCCAGATAGAATCGCAGGAATCATTGAAGCGGTTAAAAACAGAAAATAAATAAGATAGTCTTACCTTTTTCGAAAAAATAATCGTATGTATAAACAATTAGCATAGAAAAAAAAATCGTCATATATCATGGGCTACGTCCCGAACTTTGTATTTATTTTTTGCATGTATTAATAAAAAATTTCTTGGCATTTTTCCGAGACCGCGCGGTCCCGGAAATCTGGCGACTTTATAACATATTCCTCTTGATAAAATGATAGTCTCTATGTATATTTATATATACTAAATAACTTTTGAATATTTCACTTCTTGTATAAAATTTATCAATCATGTCATCCGAGCTTGAAGTATTGAAACAGCGTATCGTTGAACTTGAGGCTAAGAATGCCGAGCTTGAGGCAGAAAAAGCTGAACTTTTAAAGCGGATTATGGAGGAGAATACTAGACGCGATGTTAGAGTTGAGGAACTGGAGCAAAAAAATAAGGAGCTTGAGACCAGACTTGCGATAGTGGAACAGGCTTCCTTACCAGTGGAAGAGCAGTCGTATAATGATAATCCTTCTGATGATAGTACATCTAACTTTAATTCAGTTGCGGAGTATCATGAGAAACCATTGGTGGATGTGGAAACAGATAATTCCTTTCCTGAAGAGGTTTTCTATAACAAACAAGAACTGATAACAGAGGTGGCGACGGTACCTGCCAACTCTGCGAAGCGCCTTAACGGCAAACCGTTGGAAGAGAAAGATATGGATAGTTTCTTGCTTGAGGCTCATAAGAAAATCGTTAGTAGTGAAATAAAGCGACGCAATAAGGAAAAGAAGAATGAAAAAAATGGGCAGGGATTGATTCAAGAAATCTCTTCATC